GAAGTGAATATTTGTCACAATACACTCAATCTTTTGTAGAAGAATGTGGAATTCAATACAGAAAAAGTGTTCCATACACGCCCAGCCAAAGCAGGTCAGCTGAATGAAAGCTGAGATCTCTATTGGAGATGACAAGATGCATGTTGGTGGATGCAGGTCTCCCAAACCAATTTTGGGGAGAAGCCATCATGATGGTCACATATCTCCAAAACAGATTGCTAACCAAAGGCACTACACAGACACCATTCCAGCTGTGGCATGGCAGAGTGCCAAACATGAAACACATTAAAACTTTTGGCAGTCCTGCATATTCTTACATACCCTCACAAAAGAGATGCAAGCTAGATGCCAGATGAGAACACACTATCTTCCTTGGATACACATCTGGATCCAAAGGATACAAAGTGATGAACTTAGAAACTGGTGAAGTAAGCATCAGACATGTGGTTTATTTTGACGAATGAAGAGAAATAGAGAAAAGAGGAACTATTCTTGAATCCATAGATGAACAAGATGGTGCATTGGAATTCTCAGAAGAGATAGATGCAACATCAGAGTTTCCTGATCAACCAATTGTTGTCCCTGTCAGAAAATACATACACGCAGACCCTACAACTTCAGAAGGGGATGCAGATTAATGCTGACCTGATGCCTGGACCAGAGGATGCTGCAGAGACAGACCAGATTCCAGAGCAGGTTTCCAGATACTGCAATCCAACAAAGGTGTACCACCCAAACTATTTTCTTACCCTACGAAGTCAGAGTTACCTAGAGAACTGTCAAATATAAAGGAAACTCAGCAAATGCCTGCTGATGAAGTAAATAAATGGAGAAAAGCTGCAGAAGAAGAAATAGAGGCATTAAATAAAAATGGAACATTTACGCTTACAGAACTCCCACCAGGAAAGAAAGCCATAGGATCCAGATGGGTGTTCAAACTAAAAGAAGATGCAGAAGGAAATGTTGAATGCTACAAGGCAAGACTTATTGCACAAGGCTTCTCACAAAAATGTGGAGAAGACTTTGGTGAGACCTTTTCACCGGTTGTGAAACAGACCACTATAAGGCTTCTTCTCAGCCTAGTTGCTTCAAAACAGATGGATGTCAGACATGTTGATATAAAAACTGCATTTTTAC